TCAGCATCATAGAAGGCTCTGCAGGACACTTCAGTTCTAATTCAGCTCACCAAGGAGCTATTGGTGGCAGACCTGGGAAAAGAGATTTTGAAGGAGTTTTTAGGCATATCTACAACACCAGCCCTTTAAAAGCAGGATTGCTTAAACAACCACACATTTCTCAGTGATGGTGCTATGTTAGACTATTGTGCCTCCACACACCTAGATGATTTAACCTCCTACCCTTGAGGCTATATAGTACATGTGTAGTGTAGCCTATGGCCATGATGAACAAATCTTATGATGAACATGGGATTAATCTGGTCCATGAGCAAATGAGGCAACGAGGAGCAGTGAACATGAGATGTATAAGGGACTGCCGTCATGGGTATGACCCATTATCCACTGAAACCTGTGTTGGGCAACACTTGCCTGTATGTATCTCTAGAAGGCATGAACCTTGCTTATGTGTATTTGGGTTTTACTAATGAAGTAAGCATTTCAAAGGGCCCAGGGTCTGGTTTCCTTTAGCATCTTTGGGTTTGTTTGTCTGTGATAGAGTGTGCCAGTACAAAATGTGTTATAAACTTTTTAAGTATCTGGAGTTAGGTATGAAAAATAATTACATGGTATTGGGAGATGAGATATAAAATGAGATATGCTAAACAAAAGACACAAATGGAATCTTCTTTAACTTCCCTTTTGGCTGTATTGTTTCTAAAGTTGTGTTCTGTAAAATACCAAACAAATTTCTACATAAAAAAAAAAAAAAAAACTAAAGGAGGGATAATGAAAAAACACGTTGAACCTGAGAGTAGAGGTTAAATGATCACTATTCCTAAGACCGAAGCGTTAAGAGCCACTTCCTAAGATAAGTGTATTTTAGGATTTTCTCTCAGCACCAGTTTTCACTGCAGTTAAACTACATGCTATTAATACTTTCACAGAGTCTCCATCTCTGCCTTTGTCTCATAGACGAATTCAAGTTTCCAGAAATGCAAGAGCCTCTCATCGCTGTAACTTAAGAGGAAGCAGGAAACTCAACTCTATGGTTAGATGACGTCCGGAAATATTCTTAGCCTCTGGCTTTGTGGGAGCTGCTTTCCTTTCTTGGATTTTGGTAAGGATATAATCTCAGTTCCATTAGAGACGGCACTCACAAAGCCAGCTGTCAAATCCACACATCAATCCTCTCCTGAATTACCAAAGATTGACACATCTGTATGTTCCTCTCAAAAAACTCTTTATTGGCAATGAGGAATTGAATTTCCCGTAGCCACATTAACTTCCAAACTAAAAGGGATACAAGCACCATATAGAGGGGTAGGGTGGAGGCTTCTCACTCCAGCCCAAAGCTTTGTCAAACAGCATCTCTCCTTTTCTGTTTCCTCTGTCTCTTCCACTCCTATTGGCATCACCACCTGGTCATTATCTACTCAGAAGGGTAGATTTGTTCTGCAACTCCTAAAGCTGTCTCCGTATCACAGTTAGAGAAGGCCAATACAGGTGATCTCTAGAAAGTGTTTAAAACCACTTTGGGCAATTCTCGAAAAGTAGGAGAAATTGGTAGGGTGAGCTGAAAACTTGGTTTTGTTTTAAGTAAAAGACTTCTTTAAATAGATGAAATGATATGAATTGGCTTGGAGTAAATTAATATAGCAGGGAAGGAAAGTGAAGAGTCTGTCTTGTAAAGAAGCCAGCTTCATGGTCTTCTATGTTAAGTTTTATGTATCGGAATGTGTGTCACACAGATTTTCAAGTCTGGTCCTTACTTCTGAAGTTGGTAACTTTATACACACACAGATCCAGTCACATGGGAAGTGATAAAATAGAAGTTTAAATTTTATTCAAACATAAATATGTCCCCATGCTCACTTTATTATTCTAACGGGTCAGAAGAAAGAGGCAGAGGCCAAGATTGGAAACAAAGTCAAGCTTCTTTATAAGCTGAGAAGTCAAAAGCACCCCTGTGGGTGGCAGAGGCAGAACTGTCCAGGAGACTCAGGAGACTGCCTCCAGCCACTATTCTCTAGACAGGGGACCAGATGCCTGGCCCCAGAGCAGACGATTTTTCTTTAGTATTTCTAATTCATGAGTTTTCTTTTAGATTTATTGATTTGTGTGTGTGTGTGTATGTATGTATGTATGTATGGGTATTTTGTCTGCACATATGTATGTGCACTACATTCATGGCTGGCGCCTGTGGAGGTCTGAAGAGGTATCACATTCTCTGAACTTGGAGTCATGCATAGTAGTGAGCCACTATGTGGGTGCTGGGAACCAAACTCAGGCCTTGTGCAAGAGCAACAAGTGCTCCTAACTGTTGAGCCATTTCTCCAACCCCATTTTTTAAGTATGAGGAAATTATAGAGTTCCTTCTGATTTTAGCATTTTATAGTTTGACAATTTCATAACCAAAAATGTCCCAGCAGAAAGTGAACTTTGAATATCTATGCTGCAAACAAGCCTAGAAAGGCTTTGGGAGAAATCTTTGATCTTTTAAGGAAAAATAAATGAATGGCCAACAGTTTCCCTTCAAACACTGGTATTCTAAAAACAAACAGGAAAGCAACAACAAAAAGCCAAATCCATTATGTTCTGTTCATGGAGAAGTCTATTCTGGTTAAGATATTGATTTGGTTGCTTGAAACATGGCTCAACAGTTCAGAGGGCCTACTGCATTGGCAAAAGACCAGAGTTCTAGTCCAAGTGCCCATGCTGGGAAGCTCTTGTGACTGCTTGTAATTCTAGCTCCAAGGGATGGGGGAGCGAGTGCAAGGCCTCTGACCTACTTGGCACCTGCACACATGCACCCCTCCCACATACACATAACTGAAATAAAAATCTAAAAATCATTGATCTGGTAGAGGAAGGTATGAGTAGATGTCTCCTCTTTCCTTATAACAGGTCCTAGTTGTAGAAAGAGATACATTGTATGTTGCATCTCTTCCTTCCCATTAAATGATGTTTGGAAATTTCTATGTTAAGCTAATTTGCCATGAGAAATATAAAGCCCTTGAATGGGATATCCAGAATCCATGGGATTTTTTTTTTTTTTTAAACAGATACCGTGTGGTGCAATCTGTTACAGTCTCCAAGATGGGGTCACGTGGGTGGCTCTGCAGGGGCCAAGAATAAAGTCATCTATCTGTGGGAATTTGTGAAATATTAACCAAAATGGGAAAAATGGTTCACCGCAGTCTTAAATACCTTCTCTTTGCCCTAACTTGTATAAGATTTATAAGCGTATCTAAAAACAAAACAAACAAACAACAATAACAAAACCATAAACCAAACTAGCCAGTCAGTCTAGGGAGAACCAAGAGAGCCTTTCTGGGAGGGTTATACTGCCACTCAATTTGTATTTTAATTCAACCTACTGGTGATTTAATTTACAGATCTCAAAGGAAGTATACACTCAAATATTTGAGGACAGTAATGTATCAACCACAGTTTAATTTTGGAATGTTCCTACTTACTTGACACAATATTTTACTAGCTAACAAATGTTTAGCCTTTTTTTTCACTTGACTAAAGAGAAATAGGTTTCACGTTGCTTCGTTCACCTTCTTATGTGCATATGCTGGGAGACTGGATGCTTAAAAAAACAAAACAAAACAAAACAAAAAAAAAAACCTTCCTCATGTTCCTTCCTACATTTAAATCTGTTTACCAATTTGGAGCTGCTAAGAAACCTGCATTTTCCTGCTAAATCAACTGGATGGCTGGAGCCCAAACTGTAATGTAACAGAAAAAAATTATCAATTTGTTTTCATGACAGTCTTGAGAATGTATAAAATTGTCTGGCCGCTAAGTCAGCCTTCCTATTTCCTCCTTCCTCTGTCTTCTCTCTTAAAGATGCCTTCAGCTTTAAGCTGGTACTTTTTATAGCTATATAACAGCTCTAATATTTTGTGACATTTTGTATTGTGACACTATAGATGAAATTGTCATCGGACTGACACCCTGTGCTGTTTATTCCTTAATTACAACTGTTAACACTGCAGAGAAGTGTGCTAATCTGCCAGCACATATTATGAAAACAATGTTATTGTTACCCACACCAACACCCACTCAACAGGACATTTCCAAGATGGCAGTGAACAAGGGACGTGTTCCACAGTGGATGCTTGGCTAATTTTGTATTGAAGGGAGGGCCTGTGTAAGTTTTAACTCATCCCATTGTCTATTTTTAAAAACACAAATGACCTGAGTGCAGGGGCTCATACCTGTAATCCCAGCGCTCAGAAGCTAAAGCAGGAGGATTGCTGTGACTTCAAGACCAGCTTGGGCTATGGAGTGAAACTCTGTCTCAAAGACAACACAAATATAAGGAAGAATAATTTTTGAAACACGACGACAAAACCACAAGTTTGCAGTTCAGAATAGTTCACTGCAATGACGTGCAGACAACTTCCCCAGAAGCTGCCTCCACAGTTAGAGTATTTTTAAGTTTAAAGAGGATGTTAATAGAAAGGAGGGAGGAGGGCAAGTGAGGTTATTTGTTTTCACAAGGTTGGGAGTCTTCAAGCCAGTCAGAATTCAGTAGCCATTTCTATGTCTAGCTCTAAGAGGTCTTTTTCAAAACCATACTGAGCAGTCCTGAAACAGGCTACATACATATTGAATCCTTTATAGATAAAATCTCAGAGAAGTCTGTCTGAGGCACCTGATCCTGTGAATCCATTTTCTGATCACCGTACTGGACAGGAGCAGCTAAGCAAGGTAGACTTTTATCCTCGTAAGCAAAGCTGTGCCTTGTGCCTGTTCCCATGGTGAGTAATGATGAGGGTGAATGTTTTAAACACACACAACACTGATCTAATACTTTAACAAACACTCTATCTTACCATTCGTTTTAGACACTTTCAATCTACAACCCTGAACTAGTCTAACCTGAGACTTTTAGTGGACTCTCATACTGACATTGCAATAACACAAAGCACATTTATTCCCTAAAGTCCCTGCCATGACTTACATAGTTTTATCAGATAGTTGGGTTTTTTTTGTTGTTGTTGTTGTTTTTGATTTTGTGTTCTGAGTAATATGTGAAGAAGTTATCACTTTGCCTCGTTTTGAATGGTGCATCCTGCCTCATTTTGATTTTCACCACCAACTGGATATGGTGCTTTTCCTAAAAGGAACTGTTCCCATTTGGGGACATGTTCTTCTACTGATGCCCAGTAACGAGTCTGGAAAACAAAACAAAACAAAAACCAAAGTAAGAAAGCATAGCAAACCATTCAACTCAGCTCCCCATAATAATCTAAATATTTATTATCTTCAGTGAGTATGTGTGCATGTACTTACTCTCACACACATATATGTAGAGTACATTTCATCTACAGAACATTTTATGTTAATTTTAGGAAAAAAATAAAAACCTGGCTACTTACTAGTGTTAATTTTTAAATTTCTCAGTGAACCAAAGCCTGGTAGAACTAAGGTTTTAATTTTTATTGTGATTTTACACGCCCTCTTGTGGCCAGCTTTGTGATTATTAACAGTACTGTCATTTATGGTACCTATTATTAAATTTTGTGTTTACTCTTCTCCATTCCATAACCTGGATTATCCACATGGAAATGATCACAAAAGATTATACATGAACAGATCTTCAGAACTCACAGGAGATGCTATGACCTGAACACAAGAATAGGAATGTAACTAAAATGTAAAGAGCTCCTCAGGTGCCTGGGATATTATGTACCCACCTATCTTTTAAAAGAATACTTAACAAGACAAATAGTGATTTTTCTTAAAGTTGTGTGTATGTGTACAAATGTGGTGTATGTGTCTGATGTATGTGCACATGTGTGCGTATAGAGGAGGCCCCTCTATCAGTTCCTACCTAATTCCTTTGAGACAGCACCTCTCTGATCCTGGACCTAGTCTAGCAGCCAGCAAACCCCAGTGGTGATCTTCCCATATCTCACCCCTGAAGCTCTGGGGTTACAGGCATGCAGGGCCACACCTGACTTTTTAGGTGGGTGCTGGGATTCAAACTTGAGTCTTCGTGCTTCTGTAGCAAGTGCTATTACCTGCTGAGCCATCTCTCCAGGTCTTCAGACTTTTATAATAACAGAATAACTAACATGGCATACCCATTTTGATGGAAATGACTTGCAAGTCAAGATGCTGTATATGTCTGACTGCTGTGGTTTACAGGCTATAGAAATCCAAGTAGTACTGCTACACTGTGTGGAGAAGCTTTGATGGACTTGGAGTGGTTGCCAAGGAGGTCAGAGTTTGCACCACAGGATGGCATTTTCTGTTGGATCAACACCATCAGTTTTTTGGGGGGTAATTCTACTCTTAGTCAGATAGTGCCAGGAATGCATACAGTGGTTCTGCTGTTTGAACATGGTGTGAGAGACTCTTAATATCTAGACATCTGTCCATGTGGTCTCAGAAACAGCCTGACATACTTAAAAGTTACCCTATTGTGCCAGAGAAGCTCAGAATACCATCCAAGGCCAGAGACAGGGGGCTTCTGTGCCATTCACGGCTGAATTAACCACTATTGTGTGGGCCCTGTATATGCTAAAATAAGGCATTGGTGAATTCAACAAAGGAGGGCATACCCAATGCACAACTTTGTGCCAGAGTTTTTCTGCATTTGATCATCGTTTTTTCGTTACCCTAAATGACACAGAAAATTGAGGGGCAGATTCTCAGCCTCACTTTTGAATCTATTCTTATCCCCAGTTGGGCAAAAAGGAAAATGACATCTGAGAAAGCTCATTAGAAGTAGAAAATGAAACTATTCTATATGTAGTGGATTCCCACCCAACACAAACATCCATAGACTAAGTGTGGCTCCCTTTTTCAACCATCTCCCCAATCTGCTTCTGGAAACTGAGCTAATACAGCTTTTTGCACTGCATGGTAAGCACAATGATAGATATTTATTTCTTCTCTCTCTCTCTCTCTTTTTAAAAATCTTTCTTTTTTAATTCTCTCACTGTGTAGTAGACTCACAGAGGTCTCCTGCCTCAGTCTTCCACCAGCTGTACTAGTAATATGCATCTGAAAAGCTTTTGCCACACCCTAGGCAAGGGACTCCTTATATTTCCAACAAGTACTCCTTGGCTATACATGCTGTCACTCAGGAGTCACAGTATATTCAACAGAGCAGTTGCTTCAATGTGACAAGAATGAGAAGACAAGATGTTTTATATTATTTCTGTTCTCTGTTCCCTGAGCCCTGGTTAGGGAATATTGATGTCCCAGTTAGGGATGAGCACTTAGTCTCTCATTCTCAGCAATGTGACCAGTTCTGCTTCTGTACTGATTTCTGCCTACTGCAGAGAGAAGTTTCTTTGACCAAGGATGACTGCAGCCAAGGTCTAGGGGTATACTCATAAATATTTGGAAGACAATTTGACAGCATGGCCATTTAGCAAAATAACAACACTCTAGGAACTACAACTTCTATAGTCATGTAGCTTTGACTAGGATTTCAGTATTAGGTGAAAAATCCCACCCTGTGGAACAGGATGTAGTTAGCTGCCCTCACAATAGTTGTGATACTACTACAGAAACAGGCACATCTTGACTGGCAGATTGGTTCTGTAGCATGTAATGTTCATCACTAGAGAAGACCATCCATGTCTCTTCTCTCCAGAAGGCGCTACAGCACCTTCTAACACTATAAAACCTACCCAGAAGGGTTAGAAATTCATTCCTCTATGTCTGGAAGCCAAGTGTATGGTGTCATCAGCAACAGAGTCTTACCATACATTTATGGTAAGTAACCAAGAGTGATGGCAATAGTAATATGTTTTGTTGTCTTGGAGACCTCTAAGGCTTCTTGAACAATAACTCACAGGAAGTTATCCAATTTTCATTTGAAAACTCTGTTTCAGAGTGACACTGTTTACCTCTGCAGGACAATTTCATTAGAAAAGGATGCAGAAAGAATATAGAAGTCGGAGGATGGCAATGAGTGCTCCAAAACAATGTCTTCTGGACATGACATGACTATCACAGTCATGAACACACAGCTTCTGTGGTTACCTACACAAGGTCAAGCTAGTCAAAAGCCTGGCATAGATGGGGTATATATGCTCCAGACCCCATGACACACTTTAAAAAACTACTGGTAGAGAGAGAAAGAGACTCACGCTTTGTTGAGGATGTGGTAGCTGGTAGGTTTGCCACGCTCCAGGGAATGCCTCACATCCACGCACATAAGGGCAGCTCTAACTAGGCGATTATTTTACAAAGTGTGTGTGTGTGTGTGTGTGTGTGTGTGTGTGTGTGTGTGTGTGTATTGGGGGGGATAGAGACAGATCTGTGTATATGACTGAATATTTCAAATGTTAAAAACATCATTCCATTAGAGAAATGGATGGCTTAGCAGGTTAATAGACTTGCCATTGAACTTGATGACCTGAGTTTGATCCCCAGAACCCACATGATGGGAGGAAAGGAACAGCTCTTGAAGGCAGTCTCTGACCTCCACATATGTACCACATGAGTGCATACATGTGCACTTGCATATGTACATGTGGTGCACACATGCATGCACATACATATACAAAACTAGATGTGAATCAGATACATTCTTTTCATCAAGATATGCTTTAATTACCAGCTGTATATAAAATATTGTACTATGGACATAAAAATATTAGCCAAACCCTTCTTGCTTATTTCCTGACAAAGTAAACCTGGGCAATACAGCTGTGTAGGTAGCCCTTATTTAACTGGTAGGGAACTTACAGTTGTTTTGTTACAGTTAACTGGGGGCCTTACCTCAAGAGAACGTACCGCAGGCTGTGGATGTGGCTTAAGCCTGGTCTGTAAGGACTTCTCTGCAGCTTCTATGTCCTATAACAGACACCAGCATTTAAAACTGAAGTGTGTTTACCTACAACATAAATGGCACCTACACCCCCCAGTGTCTTGTAACCCAAATCTCTCACCTCAGTGAGGTTATACATGATAGAGGAACACAGAGGTAGGAGACCTGATTACAGATCAATTAACCCACTTCCACTCATGCAGGGTATTTATTTAACATAGGAGCACTATATTCTACCTTTTTACTTTGAATAACTGGCAAGCAACAGAAATTACTTGGGGGGAAAAAGTGCTTCCTTTAAAAATGCTCAGGGTTGGATGTGGTGAAACATGCCCATAACCACAGAACATGGGAGGCTATTGCAGGAGGGCTGAGTTTAAGGCCAGTCTAAACTACATAAGGAGTCTCTGGGACAAAAGTCAGCCCAGCAAAAAATGATCAGAACATAAATTACATGAGCTTTTAGATCACCTTAAAACAGGCAAAGTAATGATGCACGGAGATAATACACTAGCTATTCAGACTCACACTATGCAATGAAGAGTGCAGTCTCTGCAGCTGATGTGGCTAGCATATTAATGGCACATATTTTATCAGTATTATATTTTAGAATGCTACACCATGGAAATGTTCCACATAGTTAAGGCTGTCAATGAATTACTTTACTACTTTGTAATGTTTTGTTTTTAAATATGCTACTACACAGCTAACTTTCTGACATTTTGAAACACTATTATCACCTACACAGTTCATGTTTGAGAATTACATAATCAAGTTACCCTGCTCTCATCTTATGACAGCTTAAGAGTAAAAGTTTGCAATTCTGTGTTGGGCTGTATCATAACTATCCTTGTAGCCCCCAGGCTGTGGGCACCTACAGATCTTTAGGACTGGATTTTAATGCTAATTTAAGTGGAAAGTGTCATTTTCAGGCAATAAATTGCTTAGTACGTGGCCTTCACCAGTGGGAAGAGTCATTGCCAGGCAGCAAATTGCTTAGTGGATGGCATTCACCAATAGGAAGTGGCATTGACAGGCAGTACATCACTCAGAGAATAACATTCAAGAACCATACTTAAATTTGTGGCTTAATTTCAAGATAAGTATATTTTCTTCTATGGTTGTAAAGGCAGCAGGGCAATTAAGCTTAACCTGGTATAATTTTTCTTCTCTACACACCTTAAACGTGTGCAGAAAAGCAGGGTTCTGGATATTGTTACAGAAACATTTGATTCTGGTTAATGTTCCCCAAACCTGCACTGATGCTGTTTAGAGCACTTTTACTATGTTAAGTTCACAGAGGTCTGGGTGCAAGGTTTAACAAATCTGTGTCTCCCTTGGTCTTAGTGAATTGCTTGCTAGCAAAAAGTTCCCTTGATCCATGTACACGCATCAGAGCAATCTAAGTAGAGGGCTGTTGGACAGACGGAGAGAAATGGAAGAGGGCGTGGGAGTGGGGTGTGAAGAAGCCAATGCTGAACAGGAGAAAAAAGATAGCAGATGGTAGCGGCGGGAGCAAGGGATGGGTGTGAAATGTAAAAAGAAAAACAGGAAATTCCCTAAAGGGACTCCCCAAAGTTGCACAACCATTAATGCACCTGCTGTCTAGGGGAAGGTGATTTGAAGGAAAAAAAAAATACACAATTTAGGGATACAAAAGCTGATGTTAGCATGTCTATCCCTTACCATAAGTTTACAGCTATGACACATGCTAAAGATACATGATGATGCCATGATGGTACAGACGTCTGACTCTTCTCTGATTTTTACTGAGATTTCACAAGCTTTATGAAACTTTTATTTCATTGTTAGTAAATAAAACACAAAATCATCCCATTGCTTCTTCCAGGACTCTAAGAACAGGTCCACTGTTCCTGTCAGTGGCAGATCTGTGTGACTCTTAGCTCTGATATTATCAAGATTTTTCTGAAGACAGGAAATAGGGACACTGAGTATTTTTTACAGACAAGTACATGTGTAAACAAAAAAGCAACATCAGCAGAGGCAGATCCTGGTAGCATTACCCACACCACCACATCACTGAAAGCTTCCTCAGCTCTCAGATGCTCTGCTGACCTCAACCTCCTCCATGGCTGCCTTGGCATGGGCTTTCTCAAGATGTATGACATCTTGCTTCCTGTGTTTACTCTGTCTCCCTTTGTGACTGCCTCTTACAGAGCTTCAAGCGCTACTGTAGATGAGGGCTAGGCTTCTACCCCACCACTCCCTTCTCCACTGGGTAAAGCCCCTTGTTAAGTGGGCTGAGTGTTACTGGGTCTCAATAGCCAGGTGCCCCTGGTGCATGCTCCATCATCATGCCACCTTACTCCTTGCTAGCAGGACCACAAAGCTCTCTGTTGTCTAAGGATGCCTTTCATTGTCTCCACTTTATTCCCAATGTCATGCTCTTATTACTAATTTAGTCACTCAACAGCTCACCAAGTACTTCCTTTGAATTGTGCTAAGAGAATATCTTGTTTTATTTTGTAACTGTCCTAGGATTGATCTGTTGGTTAAACAACCACTTGAAATTTATCCTCATGTACCTCAAAAACAGTTGATACTTAGTAAACAGGACGAAGTGTGACTTCCCTTTGCAGGACTGCAGTAAGACAAATGAACAAAAAGACCACAATTTGATTAGCACATTCGGTACTAAGTTATAGCCTGAAATTTCCATACAAGGCCTCCTCTTTGACAGCCATACACATGGCCAGAGGTATAGTGTAAAACTTTTATGTGCACATAAATAATCAATGAATGGATAGCCACAATACCAAAGTTTCCTGACCAAACTCAGAAACTTAAAGGGAAAAAGGCAAAAGGGGAGAGCAAAAGCAGACTAGACTTAGATGCCTATAAATTACTACTTCATTGTAAAGATCTGCCAATAGACTAGTTACATAACATGAAAAATCAAGCATCAGGTATTGTCAACCAAGTGAAAAAGATGTACTGTGTTGGTGGTGGTATAACCATTAGCTGGCTGCTGAGCATAGTAATGCTAAACTTCCCTGGAAAGAAAGCCCTAGAGTCAATAGTATCTTACCTCAAAGCACTTCTGGTGGTCAGAATGGTATCAGTAGTAATGTCTGTATCACAAGACTGAGACAATGCTGTACTTGCTCTCATGCTTGGTTTTGCTATCCAGTTTCTGTTTCCATGGTTAATAGTGGGCTGTAGATATCAAACTGAAAGATGGGAGCTAAGGGTGCATCTTACTAGTACAGTGCTAGCACAGCATGGATGAAGCCTTGGTATCAATCTTTATCTTGAACATTACAACACAAATAAGCAACTGGTAAGTTTTAAATTGTGTATCATTCTGCGAGGCATAATGAAATTTCATGACTTCCTTCTCTGTTCTGCCTGGGCTGTATACAATATCTTTGCCAGTACACGCCCAGTATATATGCTACATTGATCACTTGCAGTTGTCTGGGATATGTTAGATTGGCCTTTGAGGTATCATGGAGCTTGTATCTAAGTAATCAGCATGTAGTAGGCAAATACTGGGTCACTCACCTCACTTTCATGTTATCACAGAGGCACAATTTTACATCATAGGAAAGGTGAGTACAATATAACATCTTCAGACTGCATCCACCCAGTTTTCATTAGAATATAACCATTCTACTTTATTGTTGCTAATTCTTTTCTGTGCCTTACTTACAAAGTCAGCCCCACTACAGGTGTGCAAATATAAGGGAGAGCAGTGTACACAGGAATTGACATTATCCATGGTTTCCTATGTCTGCTGGGAAGTCCTGGAGCATATGACCAGGGAGACTATTGCATACAGGTATGCTGGTATTGGGGAGCTCCTTGGGACCAAGCATTTGAGTTTTTTAAACAAGGATTCACTGTGGCTCAAGCTTGCCTCAAAATCACAGCAGTCATGCTTCAGCCTTCCAAGTACTGGGATTACAGGTGTGAGACATCACAGTTCAGGACTGAGATTTCTGGTATAAGGGGGAAAAGTTAGTTCCCCCCCCCAAAAAAAATTCAATGGTTTTAAGTTAAAAACCTCGCCTTGCAATCCTTTGGCTGAATTGGAATTACTGATAGGGACACTTGTTGTATCTTATCTTAAAAAGGAAAATCAAAGAAGTTGCAATAAATAGTTCCAGTGCCCAGATTGAGAGCTCTAAATATATTTCTTGCCAAAAGGAGCCAAAGCTCCTTGAAGCAATGACCAATTCCAAGTCTGGATGGCAAGTACAGAAACCGCAAGAACTCATCAGGTCAGAAAGAGAGGAAACTATCGAAAACAAGACTGTTACTATATGGCTAAGACATTCAGGACTAACTTGGAGAAATTTCCATTTGGTAAGAATGGCGTAATCTGAGTATGGAAAGTCACAAAGAACTGAAACATTTCAAATCTCAGAAAATTAAAAGCAAAACAGTACCTCACAAGTCACCCTGGAGGAATGGTGGGAAACTGGCCAGTTTAAAAATGAAGTGCAGAGGGGCTCAGTGGTTTGGTTCCTAGCACCCAAATCAGGTATCCCACAAGTGCCTATAAATCCAGCTCCAGGGGATCAGATGCCCCCTTCTGGCCTCCACAAGCACCTGCACTCAAATCTTAAAAAAAAAAAAAAAAAAAAAAAAAAAAAAAGGGAAATATGGCTGTGATTGTCTAACATGTACAGGGACTAGATTCAATTTCCATCTCTGAAAAACAAAAATGACTAAATTCACAAGTATTCAGTATACTGTTTCCTACATTAACTGTATGTAATTAGGTAACTGATATGGGGCAGATTTTCTTTAAACAAATAAAAATTAGAAGTCAAATGAGAAGGAATAAAATAGCTTAAACACAAATTTGAATTTTCTTTCTTTCTAAGAGTATTGCTGTGTTACCTTGGCTAGCCAAAATTTGCTTCATTGATGAGATTGGTTTGGAATTTGTAACAACTCCCTGCTGGTGCCTCTGAGTGATGGAATTATAGCCATAGCCTTTAGGACACTTCTAGTCCATGATCATGAACACTGAAGTGCGTTGCCCCAAACATAAAACTCTACTTAATGGGGTTTCTAGATTTCCACTCTTAATACTACAGCCATTAACCTAGCCTACCCTCAGTAGAGGTTCTCACTCTATTCCTGATTGTGATGCTTTCCTATCCTATGTTGTCTTTCAGGGCTTGCCCATCTTCTATAACCACAGAATGGTCTTTCTGCCAGAAGGCTTAATTTTCTAAGAGGTAAGGAAGGAGTGTACTTTATAACACAGAAGTTTATTTATACAAACAAACAACATCCTTCCTCTCCTCCAAATGCACACCAATCATGCTTGTTTTTAAGACTGATTTCTATTTAATACTTGGGAATAGTACTCAGCCTGCATTTTCTAAGTCTGTGATCTTTTGTGGCATTTATTGACTAAAATTTGACTCAGGACTGTCTTTTTATATATGCAGTTCATTAACTAATATGTCAAATATTTGATCAATTAGTTGTTTCCTTATGCCTCCTTTAAAAAAAATTCTCTGACACTTGATACTGCTTTTTAAAAAATAATTTTAAAGTTAGCATACAAAGTAGTGGACTTTGTTAGGGTATTTGCACACATACATGGCACTATATTTTGTCTTTATTTGTGTCTTCCTTCCCTCCTGTTGGTCCCACTTCTGTCTTCACATGCGGATATGTAGTTTATTTTTCCCAAATGACTTTACAGACATGTTATCACATCCATTGCAAATTTTGTTGGGATCTAAACAGATGTATAAGTAACTTAGTAACAAGAGTTTCCCCATGAGAATGAGGTCATTTGTATCCTCTTAAATTTTCCCTTAAATATCACATTTTAGTGTAATACATATCTTTATACTATCATGAATAGCAAGGAAGAATTCCTAAGGAGCTAGAATTGTATTGCAGATGTAAATATGATTTCATGAATTTTCTAGCTGTAGCATAGGAATGCTGTTGACTTTTGAATCTCTAACATGCCAGTTTTACTAAACTCATAATATTTGGTGTTTTTCCTTGAAAACAGCCATACAACATAAAATGTTGGTCAATCATCCTTTTCAAAAGAGGCTGACCCCTTGTTAATGTTTATTCCACCAGTCAGAAGACCTAAGGACTGTCAAATAATGGGTAGCAAGAGAGGTCTTACTTGGGTTAGTGTTGTTGTCACTGAACACATTTTAACGGCACCATCTATAAGCTGTAGGTTCCTTGAAGGTACCTGCCCTAGAGGGAACCTACCCTGTTCTTGACAAAGTATTGGAAGTAGTTATACTATGGTTTACTACACTCTTTAAATACTTAGGCCAGATTGTGGCATCTGGGAAGGTTGAAAGGAAAAGAGAGGGTAACTTCACTTTTATCTATTTTTAAACCACTGAAAAACAATGTAAAAAAGAATATTTAACCTTTCAGTAAGAATCTAATGTAGTATACACGCTATTTAATGTCTTTCCCATAAACTGGGCCTAGTGGCACAGGCCTGTATTCCCAGCTACACAGGAGATGAGGCAGGAGAATTACTTTTTACATTCATTGCCTATATAGGAAACAGAGTAAGTTTAAGCGCAGCCTAGGAAATGTAGACTCTATTCAAAATGAAAAGTAGGCCAGTGGAGGGTCAATGGGTAAAATCACTTAGAGCTAAGCCTGACAAGCCTGAGTCAATCAATCTCCAGAACCCACATAGTGGACAGAGAAAACTCTTCCACAAACTGTTTGTTCTATGATCATCATAAGAATATGTGCTAACTCCCCCCCCCAAAAAAAAAAGTAAAATAAGGGCTAGGGATGTAGTCCAGCAGTGGAATGATTGCTTAGCAGGCATGTAAAAGATCCTGGGTTTAATCCCCACTCTCCCAGACCTCATTCCCTCTACACACAAAAGCTCTCTTTGGAAATGGGAAGTAGTTCTCTGATAGTGTGTATTTAGCACTCACGATGGCCTGGGTTTATTCTCTAGCACCCCATCTCCCCAGAAAATATCTCACAACATAGTATTATATAGTAATCAAATTCTATTTATCTTACTTTTATACAATGATTTCTATATTGATAACATTAATACTGCTTTTGAATTTTAAAAAAAATTAAAGCAACACAGGATTTTAAAATGCATATGTAACTAAAGTGTATAAAATAGACAGGACACAAATCATGTCCAGCAGCAGTCACCATGCTAATGATGCAGCAACTGCTCAATAAATGAGTAGGATACTATGAAGACAAGCATTTTGTCTTTTTTGTTTCTTTTCACTATGACAGTCAGGGAAAAATCCAGCATACTAAACTCATTTCCTTCAGCTATAAAGCCAGTGTCTTCTTTTCTTTATCCACTGATGTCCCTGAACTTGTGGATTATACCCATGGACCATGATTTGAAAATCAACTTAGAATGCACTTAATGAACCTAATCTATTATAAAATAAAGATATGAGCCTTATATAAACATACATAAAATATAAACTGTACTTTACATAAAACTAAGTTTTATATAAAAAATAAGGAAACTGGGTTGATGACTATTTTTTAGCTTCTCTCCTTACCTCTATTAATGTCAAGAATAGTTTCTCTATTCATTTAGGTGATTGTGATTGCATGTATGTCTATGTAGGTAAGAACTCTCTAGGGTCAGTCAGAAGAGGCATCAGATCCCCTGAAACTGGAGTTATGGATGGTTGTGAACCACCAAGTAGGTACTGAAGATTGAACCTGGTCCTCTAGAAGAGAAGCCTGTGCTCCTAATCACTGAGATTTTTCTCTATCCTATTTCCCTATTCCTGAATCATCTAAGTAGAAAATCAATCTTTCATAAATATTCACATGTGAATATGTATGGGCGTGTGCATACCATAGCTTACATATGGAGGCCAAAGGACAACTTGTATTAATCAGTTCTCTCCAATAATGTGGGTCCTGGGGATCCAATTTAGGTCTTCAGGCTTGGTGGCAAGTGCTTTTCATGCAGAGCCATCTTGCCAGCCTCTGTTTATTTCTTATGAAAGTCTGTGTTCTTCTTGGAACTTAGTACTACATTACCATTATATTTTAAGCCTCATATTCTTTGGTTCTTGTATCAATTACTTTTTCTGTTCCTGAGATGAAATGCCATGAAAAAAGCAACTTACAGAAGAGTTTATTTGGCTTCTGGTTCCAGAGGAGTAAGACTATACCATGGAGGGAAGGCACGGCAGCAAGTGGCTATAGCAGGGAGCTTAGACATCACATATCAGTTGCACACAGGAAGCAGAGTGCAAACCGGAAGTGAGGCTACACACTTTAAAAGTCTAGCCCCAGACACATTCTTCCTCTAGCAAAGCTATAGCTCCTAAAAGTTCCAAAACCTCCCTGAACAGCACCACTAAGTGGAGACCAAGTATTCAAATACACAAACTCCTGGAGGATATTGTTTGTTCAAATCATTGTAGTCTCTGAACATACCCAACTTTGTTTCCTGCAAATTTTCAAGCTTGTTAGAATATAATCCCACTGACCATTAATAGGGCCATTCATCTTTTTGCTTTTGACTGTTTTTATTTAAGAATCCAGTGGACTATTTTGACTATTTAAACACAAATGAGGTTCAGCTTCATTTCACACATCTCTACGAATATTTTTGCATCAGTTAGGTCTCATTAATTATGTGTAATAGTCAGAACATACAAATTAAGCCAAATCATAAATTCATGCAAAAGTATTGGAAAGGTGGGGAAAATGTCTATACTAAAGAAGCTCTCAAGCACATTTTACTCTTAATCTTCATAGTCTGCATTCTATTCCGTGTAATTTAGTATTTGATCACATTAAGCATAGGTTGTTTGTAATGAAAAGCTCACACACTCTGACGTCATCTATCTGTAGCTTCCTTGAAGCAAGAATCTTGTTTTATCCTTACTTTGCTATCTCTGCTTTAGCTCTAGGCATTCATCAAATGCTTGCTCATTAAAAGGAAAATACTTGAAAACCAAATATCCCATCACTTGCTACAGGTAGTGGCAATCAAGTTTTCCAATTTAGTTTCTCTAACTTTTCACAGCAATTTCCAGAATACCCTATATATTTCCATTTAAAAATAAATATTGTTAACACCATTGGGCAAGTAAGACATATGGCAATATAGAATGCTTTGGTAGCACTATGGCTGTGACTTAAATTACTGTGGATCAAACTGCCAGAAGCTGAGAAGATAACTGAATTTTCCTCTCCCTTTATCCTGTAGTGAGGATAGAAGATAGCTGTATCATGCCTATCGATGAAAATATTTAACAATAAAAAACTGACAACACTGCTTTATAACTTAAATAATATAGTCTTACTACCAAATGTTTTAGTCATAGGATCTCTTGGAAGCTTGAATGGAAGCAAACTCTAGGGTTTTAATTATGGATGAAGCCACACAATTCTGGAAGCACAGTATAGCAAGCAGCCAAAAATGTTACACATATGATTTTATTCCAAATGGGCACAGTGGCCAAATGGTGAGGCCCTGTGCAATCATACACTTTGACCACCTACTCTATAACCATCCAAGGAGTCTTAGAAGTAAGCTCTCACACGGTGAATTCTGTGTGTTTACTGTGCGATAGTTGGGCAAAATCAAATGCTTCATGTTTTTGTGCTGTTTAGTATTTGAGTTGGATCTAAACACATCACAGCTTAAGGTCTTTGGGGGTCCTCCCTTGAAATGGAAGAATATGAAAATGTAAGGATACACTTTCTGCTTCTTCTTGCACAAAGGTGACCTTAATATTCTTCCTGTCGTCATTGATTTTTTTTTGGTTGACAGAAAATATTTAGCTTATGTAAACTTCAATTTTTTTCATTTTTAAAAAGCAAGAATCCATATGCTATTTGCCCAACTAACACAGGCTTGAAAAAGACACTGGCTCATTAATTCTGCTTGTTGCTAAAAACAAAGAAATGATGTGAATCAAACTCATAAGATGCATGCAAATACCTTAGGAAAGGGGAAAGCATCTATACCCGCCATGGAAATACCTGCAAGAGTCTGAGGTTCCTTTTGGAAGCAGTCTCAGTGGCTTGAAGGAGACATGCCCTTTCTGTGTTTTGATCTCCAAAATTATTCTTCATTTTCTGAAGTAACATTAATCTTTGTGATACTCTGAAAAAAAAACAAGTAAAGTTTATATAGAGAGGAAAAAATTGAAAAGCAAACATTTTATTGCTTGACCAATATGTAACATTTCTTTCTTAACTGCATCTCACCTCAACTATGACCCATTATTGAAAGCCAATTATTTTATCAGCTGAGACAATGAAGACTAGATAGTTTACTATGTCTTGTCAATCTGGATAAAATTATTTTTATTTTCGTTAACATATACTTCCTATATGCCATAAGTACATGTCTCTCTTTTTTAGCCTCTGTGGTCTTTTGAAATTATTTTAGAGTGTTGAAGATATGTAATTTTTGGTGAAAATGCAAACTGTAATACATATCTCCTTGTACACATAGTTATATATACCTCCCCACACATATACATTGCTATAACTTGCTATAGGAAACCTTCTGCTTAACACTTCAGTACCCCTGAATCTCATGTTACACATTTAGAATTGTGTTAAACTTCCATATGTTTGGAGAAGCAATAAAAATATTTTTTATCTCTTTTTCCAAGAGAAAGATGATGGTTTGATATATGAGTGAGAGGCAGCATGCATGCATGCATGCACGCTCATAAGGTAAACCAATGTTTGAAGAAAGATGAAAAGTTATGAGTACATTCTTTAACTACGTTATTATATATAATGCACTTGAAAAGTTTTTTGTACATTTTATAAATTTTTGGGTTCCTTAAATGATAAATAAGAAATTATGTACAATGATTAAAAATACATCAGTGGTATACAGCAAAGTAATAAGTAAGTCATGAAGGTTCTCAAAGAACACTGTTTTGTAGGGATATCTTGAATGGAGAACTAAAACCTGAGGTTGATGAACATTATTTTATTTTTGTTTTTATGGGACTAGTGTATTACAACACCAAAGGTCAGGACCTGGTATCTAGTTAAACAACAGGAAGATCTGAGAGCCCACAGATGGATGAAGAAGATTAATATTAACCACAAGATCATGGCTAGCCATACAATATGATGGACCAAGTGTAGAGTGGGTAAAGACCATGACATTCACACACTGAAGCTAATGCAAGGCCTGTGACTGCACAGGTCATGCTCCATGAACATAAAGCCAGCCCTGGATAAAAGATTTCAAGTCTACTAAAAGCCAAGCTGGAGAGATGGATCACAAGGTAAGGGGCTCTTGCTTTTCTACTGGACTTGAGTTTAGTGCTCAGAACCCACATCAAGCACAAACAACTGCCTGGAACTCTTAGCTCCATGGGTTCTGGTACCCTCTCACCCTCCTCTGGGCTTCCTGTGTATTGACACATGCAAATTTACACCCCCCACACACAAATATTTTTAAATAATAAAGTTTAAAACTTTTTAGTTAAAAAGAAAAATCCAAGCATGGTGATGACTACCCTTACACCAAGCACTCAGGAGACATTGCAATCAGGGTTCAAGATCAGTTTTAGTTGTATAGCAAGTTCAAGAACCCCTGCCACCAAAAAATTTCTTTCGTTAAGCTTAGAAAGGGTGAATTTTGATATTAGTTTTTAAAAAGTATATATACAGATGTATAGAACATAGTTGTGCCTTTTCATTGTCAAGAGACAATGAAATCATCTACAATAAAATTTCGAGTCAGAAAAATGCTATTTTCACGTTTTTTCTGTACATGTTTCACTCATAAAGCCAGCACACACTCCATATTTGGAGTATCTTTTTCAGAAACTTACATTTCTTCATGTCTTTTAGAAAGGTGAATTTCTTGAGTGAACAATGAAGTCATCTTTAATCAAAGCTTGGCTATAAGGTCTCTGCTAAATAATAAAAGCAGTTACTTTTCCCATATATTCAGCTATGCAATTTGATCACTTTAGTACTGCCACAACCCATAGATTGCCTCAGAAGAGAAAACTGACAACTTCATGTGTTGTGTGAAAGAATGCACTCAAACCCATTTGTATTGATTTTTTTTTTGTTTGTTTTGTTTTGTTTGCCAGATTCACCCAAAATACCGTGGATCAGGTAAACTCTACTCATTTCCTATTTTCTACCTCCACCCAAGCTCTAACCTTAAACAGAATTTAAACAAACAAGCAGCTGGCTCTAAGATTAGTATACATTTTAACAGACACAAAGAGAAAAATATGTAAAAATTCAAACCAGGAATACCATCCCTTCTGCTCATGCACACAAGCAGTAACAGTAAGGCAATGAAGTATGAGAACCAATTGGAAAGTCATGGAAGACTGCCCAGTTCTACCATTACTCTTTCAAACAAGAGAAGTATTTTTTCATGTATAATTTAGGAAAATCTCGATAAGTTCTTTCACTGTATGTATCCTAGCAGGTCAAAACTCACACTTAAAGAGTTCAGAAAAACTCTTTTCTATGGCACACTTTACACCAGGTGCATGTTTACCTTGGCTAAAGACCTTACACTAGTGTAGATGGCAATCTAGTGAAGTTCTCTGAAGGCCCAGGCTGAAAAGCACAAAAGCTATGGGAGACAAATACAACAAAGACGTCCCATCAAGGAGGTTTTCCTAAACTTTCTGAAATTAAACACTCATTCCCTGAACCGCCTAGGGTCTGATGCAGACGGGAGAGCACACTGCACAGGGCCCTCTGCCTTCTGCGGGTCCCTTCTCCCAGCACCGCAGCCTCCAGCGTCCTCGCGTCTTCCCCGCAGTTCTGCAGCCGAGCATGCAGCGTCCAGGCGCTCCTGGAAAGTCAGCCCTGCTAACTGCCTCTCCTTATGGAGCACCTCATGGGGAGTTCTGCCTGGGAAGCGCAGAGCCCGGGCACCCTAGCTCCCGCCTTTCTCCCCGGACAACTCTAGAGAGCCTTCCTCATCACCTGGTCCTCCCCTTAATAGCTTCCTCCACATCAGCCAACGGCCTCAAGGACTACGGGCCACAGCCACACTGCGCCCACCTCTGAGCTCTTCCGGGAACGCGCCATGAACTACGCCTGCGCAAGACCTGGGCGTGGCCATACGGCCATCTTGGCGCACCTTACGCTCCTGACGTCAGTCACTCAGGGCGGCTCTGCCTCAGGGTCCTCAGTGAGGATGAGTTTATGGAAGGTAGCCTAAAGGGGCAGTAGGGACATTGAGGAAAATCCGGTGATAGCTCAAGTTTTTAAAGTGTGGGATCTGCATATGTAAAAAAGTTATCAGGGAGTGCAACTGGTTTCCTGGGCCCTTGGAAGGTCCAGTAGTTTGTATAGAAGGGCGTGTGTGTGTGTGTGTGTGTGTGTGTGTGTGTGTGTGTGTGTGTGTGTGTGTGTGTGTGTGTGTCCTGGGCCCTTGGAAGGTCCAGTAGTTTGTATAGAAGGGTGTGTGTGTGTGTGTGTGTGTGTGTGTGTGTGTGTGTGTGTGTGTGTGTGTGTGTGTGTGTTGAGCTGGGGACTCTGTGGATGTTGTGATGGGAACTCTAGTCCTCTGGAAGAATAGCCAGCACACATAACTAGTGAGCCATCTCTCCAATACCAAGAACAAATATATATTTTGCCTTTGGTCTACTAGTGTGTAGTTCTAGCTAAATGAATGCAATTCTTTTGCTTGCTGAAATCTCATTTGATTTCAAAGCACTGTGTCTTTACTTGGCATATCTGTTTAGTTGATAAAATGCTCCATACCCTTCTTTTTCGAATGACCCTGTGTTCTGGGCTCACCTATGAATAAAATAGAACTTTTGCATGACTATAGTGCATTCTTGTTTGTATTGTAGGAATTATAAATATTTTTTCTTAAATTGGTTTTTGGACTGCATGACCAGAGTTTATCTATTAAAATATTTTAATGTTGATTAAGACAAACTTTATACACCCTCATGCTTTGGGTAAGTTTGCATAGCAACACAACTGGAAGAAACCTAGTTTTTCTGTTCAAAGCCCTGCATTCTCAGGCCATTGTCTGCCCTACTGCCAAACTAAGGGGTAGTTATAAAATGTGCAAATTTTAGGAAAACAGTAACCAGCAATATGTCATAGAAAGTTAAAGATTATCTAGATATACTGTGATCATTCATAGCAACCCATAAAAATGCTTCCTCTCTACTTAAAGATCCGCTCTGAATGTTCCTCTAGTATGACAAATCACATGGGTGATCCTTTCCTTGAGACACCTAGCTGGTGAGGACAAATCTCTGGCAACTTCATAGGGCATCAATTCACATACAGCTTCTGTGTTTTATTAGATAAGTTTGGATAGTTTCTGGAGTGAAGTACTCCTGCTTTACCCTGCAAATTGTTGTGATCCTCTAAATAGCAATTGGCCCATTGTGAGGGTATTCTTCTGTACATGTGTAGTAAAGGTAATGTTTCCTAGTGCTGATTCTTGCAGCCAATTACCTTGATTATTTCCTTGGCCTCAGTGTATAGGAATTGTTGTCCTTTTGAAAAGAAAATATATGTGTCTATGGAGGCCTGAAGAGGACGTCAGATGTCCCAGAACAGGAGTTATTGGTGGTTGTGAGTGGGTTCAGAAAACTGAACTTGCACCTTCTGGAAGTGCAGCAAGCACTTTAGCCACTGAGCCATCTCTCCAGCTCCAGAAGTATTGCCTTTGAAGTTATATGTTCTGTAAAGGTATATGTGATATAGCATAATATGCTGTTAATCTGTTAAGCTCCTACTGACTGGCTGAGCTCTCAATATATGCTCAAAAAATGCTAAAGGAGAGCAGCTGACAACATAAAATGGCTTGTTTGTTGCTGCTCATTCTGTACTGGGCCTTTGGCATAAATTCCACCTAATCTTAAACAAATATAGATGGTGAACTCTCATATAGCTGAAGAAATCGATTCTTGGAGAAATGTTTGTCTCATGCTCACACTCATTGTAAATAAGTATCAGCTTGTTTGGTAGAATTTTTCCCATAAACAAAGATTGATTTTTTTCCTAATGGAATGAGAAGTGAAAAATTTAAGCAGTTGCTGATGTTAATCAGGGGTTACAAGGACATTTGAAATTCCTTGCTTTTCCTCATGGCCACAAGATGGCTACTGTAGTCACTTTTGGTAATTTCAGTTCAGGATCAGTTGGCTCTTGTGGCTTTTGGGTCTGTGGTGAAACAGTCCATCATGATAAGAACACATAGCAGAGGAAGCTGTTCTGTGGAACCATGATTTATAGAGAGGATATATGAATAAAAGTATAATGTGTATGGATGGCATGATTGGTCAGAGATGAGAGAGTGCGTTGAGTTGATTAGTCTGGACAGCGTTTGGAAAACTGAGGCAGACTTGGAAACTTCAGTTGGCTTTAGAATCCTGTCTCTGAGGTTGAATGTTTCAGGTGCTGGGAGAGTAGAGTGATGATGTTGGATTTCCTAGGGAAAGAGAAGAGAGAGAGAGAGAGAGAGAGAGAGAGAGAGAGGCAGAGAGGCAGAGAGACAGACAGAGACACACACACAGAGAGAGGCAGAGAGACAGACACACACACACACACAGAGAGAGAGAGAGAGAGAGAGAGAGAGAGAGAGAGAGAGAGAATGTACATTGAGAAGAATTCTTTCACCTAATTTCTACCAACCTTGTAGATTGTATTTTAATTTCTACCAACCTTGTAGATTGTATTTCCAGGGCTAGAGGATTTTAAACAGAGGCCTGACAGTAACAAACAGGTTTATTAAAGAAGGCTAGTCTAATGAACAGAGACTAGAAATGAGAACAAAGAAGATTTGATGGAAATGGCAAAGTAAGAAATTTATGGGAAAAAAAATGGAAGAGTATTTCCAACACTCCAAGGTGCTGACAGTAAATTCTGGTGTATACTGTAGAGATCCTTTTAGACACCCTTTGAATTTACCACAGATAGGCAAATGTTTAGAAAATAAAGATCTCATGACCTAAATGGGATTGATTTCTCTTCTTTCAATAATTCGGTAAAATGGGTCTAAATGTCTGTTTTGATTCCATCTGAAATAGAATTCTTAGAATTTCACCTGTTCTGTACTCATGCTTGTTTTATCGTGGAAGATATTTTATACTCAAAATATTAAAAAAAATGCACTATATTGTCCCCTGATAGATTATTGACCCATAGGAAATTTACAGTCATAGGTTTTTAGGAGCTCTTACCAATGAATCAGGTATGTATCTAGGCCCAATCAGACAAAATGTTACAATAGAGAAATTATTACCACACCTGGGACCTGTGTTGTGGACATTCTTGGCTCAGATAATAAGGCCTTGCTCCTAGACCATGTTTAACGCCAGAGATGCCCAGTGAAAATTTGCATATGTCCTTTTCCTTTTTGGGAAGTGGAATTAAAAATCTCACCAGTTCTAAAATTGATTGGGGAAAGCATAGGATTTTTACATTTAATGCATATATGACAATTCTTAGAGAATCATTTAGATATTGTACATTTGTTAAATATGTATGCTTCTCACTTCCCAAATCTATTCATGTAAAGCTCACACAATCTGTCTTATTCTGATAGCCTTCTAGCTGTCTATAGTCTATAAAGTCTATAAACATCTTCCAGTCCTGGGACCCTGATTTCCTACTGGCATCTGATATATATCTACTAGTCTATGAATGCTTGATATAGGATTTTTTTTTACTATTTATTTATTGGTTTTTCCAGACAGGGCTTCTCTGTATTGCTGTCTGTCCTGGAACTCAATCTGTAGATCAGGCTGGCCTTGAACTTACAGAGATCTGTCTGCCTCTGCCTCTCGAGTGCTGGGATCATAGGTGTGCACCACCAGCAACCAGCTTTGATATAGGATATTCTTAAGGAAGGCATTTTCTTCCTTTTTTTTTTTAAAAAAAATACTTATTTTAAGTTTATGAGCATTAATTGGTGTTTTGCCTGTGTGAGGGTGTTAGATACCCTGGAACTGGAGTTGTAGACAGTGGTGAGCTGCCATGTGGATGCTGGGAATTGAACTCAGATCTCTGGAAAGGCAGCCAGTGTTGTTAATCACTAAGACATCTCTCCAGCCCCAAAGTAGGTATTTTCCACTCATGGCCTTCCTGCTTGTTTATTTTCTTGAAATTCTTTGTCTCTTACAGCTCTGTGACAACTTTATCATTAGTTCACCATTGAGCAGGCAACTGAGAACCCATATAACTGATACTTGAGATGATAAGCAGTGTCTTCCACCTTTCACAGTTTTTTGTAATATACCGTTAAGTTTTATGAAAACATTCAAGGCTTTATGTATGTGGAAAGTTTTTCTTTAAAACAGTATTATTTACTATATTCATCCACTTGAAAATTTTCCTATTTCCTTAATAAAAATACAGGAATCACAATTTTACTGCACTTTAGTTTACTTATGATCTAATGATACAGTAAGAATTTGTCTGACAGGCTACTGTAGTTTGATGCATTTTGGTGAAAAAAGAAACTTATGTCCTTTATTTATATGAAACAAATGTTACCTGACTGAAGAGATTTCATGTGAATATATTCCCTCTTTTTTTTTTTTTTTTTTTTTGTTGGACATTGAGAGCTTTACTTTCAAATCTGACTTTACTTTTAAATGTATCCTTTTTAATTTTTCTTTTGCTTTTCAGTAAACACTTTGAAATGAATTGCACACCTGGTTTAATAGTATAAACATT